AAAAAAAAAACCTTGAAAAAAAGTAGTTTGGAAAAAGAATCACTCCCATTTTTGCCTTCCAGAATAAATAACTGATCAGCATATCTAGCAGCTGCATTACAAGTTGCATCAGAGCTCCCTACCAGCAAAGCAGAGAGCAGCAGCACCAGCGACAGCAGAAAAGGACAGGACCCCAGAGAAGTGCCCAAGTATGGACCATCCCGCTGGAGCGAACGATGGGCACAAGAAGGCTTGTGTTTCCTCACTCACTCATTCTGAAAATCATTAATTACCTTTTTCACCTTAATCTAAGTTTAAAAGGAGTTTGAAGACAATACTAAGCAATTAATTCACCAATTTATATAATGAAAAGATGCCTCCTTGCCTTAGTRAAAATGTGGCTATAACGCTGTTCTGAAAAGGCACTGCTGGGAAGCGAGCGGATGCCCGTGAACAGTGTGTCACGATGCAAAAGGTAATTATTTAGTGCTGCAGTTCCTTTTAATGATCTAACATTGAGCAATATTGTTTATATTGAAGAGATCCTGCACCTTTAATTACYAATTACATATACATCATTTTAGAGCCAAAAGAAAAGGACCGTGAAAAGGGTCTTTTAGCAATGTGCACGCTATTTGTAGCCAGAATTCCTATTAAGGGGGAGCAGTGTGTCAAAATATTAAAAAAAACCCATACAGAGAGGCACACACAGGCACGAAGATACACATGCGGGAGATGGGACAAAGAGCTGGAAAAGACAACACAAAAACAGGAACTGAACCAAGGGTCGTAAGAAAGAAAGGTGGCAGAGGGGAAAAATGCTTGTTACTAGTTTCACTAACATTCCTGTAAAGCCTTTTGATTAAAGTCTGTGTCTTAAATTACAAAGGCTGAATTTTGGCATTTATATATATGTAACAAATAAAAAGAAAAGCACGGATCTCAACTTTATTATCTTTTTGATGTGAGGATTTTTTTTTTCTTTTTTTTTGCCTGTGATTTATATTGTGCTCTTCAGAAAACGTAGCAAAATTGCTGCATTTGATAAGGGTCCTGACCAGGCGTCTGTGGAAACGTGAAGGAGGTTTGAACAGCTAAACTGTTACGAATTCTTTCTTTTCAGTTCTATACTTCATTTGAATATTAGTTAAATCCACATATGCCTATTCGCTTACACTCGCTCACTCTCTCTTTCCAAGGACTCTGCAATGGCACTTTTTTAAAATAACATCTGGTATTCCTTCATATTTTGGCAGTCGTCACATCACCGAAAATCAGCTTTTCGTTTTCTTGGTACGCCGAGCCCTCGTGATCAGTAGTAATTGGGTTTCAAACTATCAAAAGATTTTTTTTACTCAACTCTATTTCTGATTTGAGCTTAATAAATCATCAATCATGAGACCAGCTATTCACCCAACAATGCAGAAGCTATATTACATCCCCTTATTCACGACATGGAAAACAGACATAAAAGAATGAAAAACAAAATACTGAATAGATCTTCAAATGCATTTTATCCATGTCAATTTGCATATATTTTTTTTACTCAGAAAAAAAAAAAAAAAAAAAGAAAGAAAAGGCTTCCTATTGACAACTCAATTAAGCCATTAAAAACCTACATTCAAGTAACATTACAGGAGAGATTTAAAACCCACAAAGGAAAAGAGAAAAAAGCCTGCAAGTCCAGCCCATAACGCATCGGGTCATGCCTGGTTAATACAACAGCCAAGATCTTAGGCTGTTTAAGGAGCCCTTTAATACCAGTGGGGCAATTTAGGCCAGTCTCAATCTAAAGTTCTGACTCTGCTTGTGTCTGTGGGTTTAAAATTAGTCGCTTCATATTATTTGAATTTAACTTTGTGGTTTTATGGCTGTTGTTGGTAACTGGATTTAGAGGTAGCAGGGYGTTTCTTCACAAGCATTTATTTTAAATTAATTTATATTTTTTAAGAAGAAATTCAGCCACAGAAAATAGGAGAAGGAAAAACATTTCATGTCGCTTACGTGGGAAAAGTAAAAAAAGAAAACGAATTAAATATTTTCAGCCAGGACTCGTGCCCTGGTTCTTTCAGGTGTGTTAAGGTGTGCCCAGTTTTTTCCCTACATCCAGAGATTCCTACGCAGAGGATTGCCTTGGCATAGCTTGCCGAGGGAGCACAGTGAGCTGGCGACGGGCAATCTTTGGGGACACGAGTGACACAGTTGTTATACGATGGCTTTGTGAAATTAATGCAAACGGACAATCTAAATCATTTGCTTTACTTAAAAAAGTGTTACACTTGCTGACTGGACTCTAAGCAGCATCTCCAAGCTCTCTAGCTGCCTACCACACCAACATACTGTGGACAAACCTCTAAATTTCACAAAGGCACTGTCACAAAGCCACCAGCACTCCTGTTCTAGTGTGGTGCCATCATTAGAGGACATGTGCCCCATACAAACAATGCTCTCATGCCCAGTATTAAAGGAAATGCACACGCTAACAACTTTCTCCCTGTCAGTTGTCTCAAAATCTTACCCATTAATAATGGAAAAGACTGTTCTATTAAAAATCATTTCCAAGGCCTCAAAGGACAGAGCCATGGATGCTTGTTCACAGAGTTTGGGTGAGGCTGGGTCCAGACAGCAACCATTCATTTTCTTGCCTTTTTATTGCACTGCAGAACCAGTGCAAGAAGGGATCTAAAAGTTGCCAGCCTATTCTCTTCCTTAGCTTACCTGTCCCACAGTATCAAAATGAGGCAAAGAAAGGGGGAAGACGAAACATTTTGGTGCTGGGCCAAAGTGTTGCGTGTGAAACTTCCCCTCCGTGGCAGGTTTCTGCAGAAATCAATACTGGGGTGGTGAAGGTGAGTGCTGACAGTACCTTCACCGCAGAGCTGCTGCTGGGTGCCCTGCCTGCCCCGGCACCCTGCCACAGCCACTGYCCATCCTTGTGCCCACCTGGGGGACAAAGAACTGGCTACCCCAGGGACCRCCCTTCTCTGGGACAACCTGGGAGTGCCCAGGGTTCACCATGGGGACTCAGTTCCTGGTGACCAGGCACAGGAAACTGCCCAGAAATATGCTGCAGCACGTCAAGTGCACTGTTCTCCTCACACAGTTGCTGCTGTCTTGAAGGCACAGCCAGAGAGAGCTCAGGCTAGCCGGGGAGCGAGCACAAAGGGCTGACTTGCTCTTCAGGGTGTTGGCCCAAAGCAGGCCTGAAAATTATGTCCCTTCAATCAACACCCACATGTCACATTTACTGTAACATCAACATGCTTAACGGAAATAGCTCGAATCACACGCTCTCTGGCTGGGTTATCACCGAGATCGGTGTCAGGATCCTTGCTGCACAAAGACTAACGCTGCTCAAAGCGGGCGTCGCGGCTCCTTGCCGTCGAAGTTTATCAATAACCTGCTTCCAGAGCCTCCCAGCAGCTTCCTGCAGCTGCAAGGTGCAGAGTTGAGATTATGCCTACGCATTGCATCAGCATCACACTCAGCGGTACTAGGCACCGCTTAGCTGCCGCCGATTTTAATTTTTCTGAAGACTGCAAAACAATTGCTTGCGGTATTTAATTCTTTCCTAAATGTAAG